TTTTTGCTGCGCCGATTATCGTCGCTATGCGAGGCACCACTATATAGCCCAGAGGTATAAAATAATCTGAAATTATATTAACAAGACAAAATATCAGTAAAGATGAACATTTTCCTCCTTCATTGTCAAAGATATTTGCGTCCATTTTTACAAACGTGAAATAATACATATGCCCATTGATCTAAAAAGTAAAACATACTGCTTAATTCAAGTTGTGCAAAAATAAGTTTGTTCAATATATTTCAGGGTTTCCTTTTCTAATTAATCTTTTTAGAACTTGCCTTATCCAAGAATGTGTGGTTTCGAAATTCAGTTCTTGAACTGCACAGGTAAGATTAATGAAGTATTCAGTGAATAATCTTTTCTTTGCAATCAAATTGCTGGGTTTTATTTATATTTAAATAAATAAGCCAGCACTTTGATTGCAAAGAAAAGATATTTATATTTAAAATATTTTTATCCCACCTTTTTTCTTAAAAAGAACCCAAGGTGGCTTACATAATTAAAAAGACATTATTTAAAAACTAAAAACAGTAGCACAACAATCCATTCGAAAAGCCCTCTCAGACCACCAGTTATTAAGGGAAAGCATACCTGGAGAGAAAGATCTTTGCCTGATTGGGGAAGGACAGCAATGATGGGGTCAGCCTAGCTTCCTGTGGGAGGGAGCGCTAGTGTCTGGGAGCAGCAACAGAGAAGGGCCTTTCCTGGGTCCCCACCAAGCACACCTGTGAGGGTGGTGGGACTGAGAGAAAGGCCTTCCCTGGTGATCTTAAGGTCTGGGCAGGCTCATAGAGGGAGATACAGTTTTTAGATAGCTTGGCCACAAGTCATTTAGGGCTTTATAGGTTAAGACCAGCACTTTGAATTGTGCCCAGAAATGGATTAGCGGACAGTGAAGCTGTGTAGTGGGGGGTGGGTGTCATATGATCTCTGTAACCAGCCCCAGTCAACAATCTGGCTGCTGTATTTTGGACCCTCTGGAGTTTCCAAACACTTTCCAAACATAGCCCCACGTAGACAATGTTGCAGTAATCCAGTCAAGATACAACCAGGGCATGTGTCAATGTGGCCAGATCAGCCCTCTTAAGGAAGAGGTGCAGCTGGCACACTAGCTTTAACTGTGTGAAAGCAGTCCTGGCCACTGCCAAAAGCTGGACATCCAGGCTCAGAGATGAATCCAGGAACACCTCCAAGCTGCATGCCTGTGTTTTCAGAGGGAGAGTAACCCCATCATAGGCTGCAACCCTATTCCTTGATCTAATTTTCAAATGACCAGGAGCATCTCTGTCATGTTTGGATTTTCAGTTTATTCACCCTCATCCAGTCCACCCTCACTGACACCAGACACTGATTTAGAACTGAAACGGCTTCCTTGGCTTTAGATGGGAAGGAGAGAGAGTATGTGTTTGGTGTCATCAGCATACTGGTGACACTGAACCCCAAAACTCTAGACAACCTCTCCCAGCAGTTTCATGTAAATGTTAAATAGCGTAGAGGACAACAGATCCCTGAGGGGCACCACCAGCCAAAGGCCGGGGTATTGAACAAGAGTCCCCCAGCACCATTTGCCGGGTTCTCACGTCCAGGAAGGACTGGTGTCACTGTTAAACAGTGCCTCCAAGTCCCATTCCCATTCCAGAGAGAGGGCCCAGAAGGGTACTACAGTCGATGGTATCAAAAGCCACTGAGAAGTCCAACAGAACCAACAGGGACACATTCCCGCTGCCCAGTTCCCAGCATAGGTCATCCACAAAGGCGACCAAAGCAGTCTTTGTCCCATAACGAAGCCTGAAGCCAGATTGAAATGCATCTGGATACTCCGTCTCATCCAGGAACCTCTGGAGCTGAGAAGCCACAACCTGCTCCAGCACCTTGCCCAAGAATGGGATATTAGAGACTGGCCACTAATTATCTTGTTCTGTGGGGTCCAAGGAGGGCTTATACTAATAATCCTACTGTGTCAGAAAAAGTTTGAATATTAATAGTCCGAATAAAATGTTCTTTACCAGCGCAAAACTAAATTCCTTCTTGCTTCTTTGATCTCTATGTTCTTCATGGCCTATGTGAATCACACACTTGGGGTTAGTTCTGTGCCTGTGCAGAGGTCCTCTGATCATTCTAGAGCAGGGATCTCCAAAGTACGGCTTGTGGGCCACATCTGGCTGGCCTTGCCTTTTTATCCAGCCTGGGCATAGGAAGAGGAGGGAAGGGGGCCCCAAGCAATCTCCCACCCCAACTGTCTTTGTAAACGGTCTCCCTTCCCTCCTCTTTCTATGTGCGGACGGATATAGGAAGAGGAGCGAAGCCTGATAGAAGTGATCCCCCACCTCCACTGTCTTTGCAAAGACCATGGTGATGGTGGATTGCTTAAAGCAGGCTTCACTCCTTTTCCTATCCCCACTCGGGCATAGGAAGAGGCGGGAAGGGGGACCCGAGCAGGGGTGGGGGGTTGCTTGGGTCCCCCTTTGCTTCTTAGGCCCTTGAAAACATGTAAAATATATGATGTGGCCCTCACACTGAAAAGTTTGGAGACACCCCCCCCCCAGTTTTAGAGCTTTAGCATGCCAGAATGATCCCTCTTAGTGTGCATGCTCTGCTCATCTTACAGAGTCGCTCAATTTGTAAAAGAGTATGTGGATGCTGGCATCCTATAGTTAATCTCTTAATGCCACAAACTGTTTTTATTTATTAGATTACAATACTGCCCCATTATTGTGAAGTACTGTTCTAGACAGTTTACAATATATGGATTAAAAAAGCACATAACAATCAATAGCACTAAAACCAAAGTCAATCAACAAACAAATGCTGCAAGAAGCAAACAGAAATCATGGTTCCTTCAGCACATCCTTTGAGTGGTACCAAAACACAGATGCTCATAGATCCACCTAATTTGCCTGTAGGATTATCCCCAAACCAGTGTCCAGTTGTAGGCCTCTTCAGTGGGTCCTTCAGTGCACAGCTCTACATAAATTCATTAATTCATAAATATGTAGCCTACTTTCCTGACAACATTCTGAAAATAATTTACAGCAGAAATATAAGTAGTACAGTGTAAAAACTCAGTTTCACAGTCAAATGAAACAAGAGTTGACATTTTACAACAGTGGTTCCCAACCACCTATAATGCAAAAGCATGTTTAAAAAGTAGTCATTGACTTACTGTCTATCTAAAGTGGCTAACTGAGTGAATGTTATATTTCTGATGAGAATATGTTCAGGACAAGGAGCCAGAAGAAAAATGGATCTGCCAGTAGACTACAGTTTCCTCTCCGATGGTAGTATTGTCTGCAGACAGGTTTCATTCCTGGATCTTGAAATGTAGGAGTCTGGCACACATTGAATTTGGGCCCAGACGCTTGCACTAACTGGTGAAGCTTTTGTAATACTGATGATATTTGGATTTGAGAAGTGAGCCTTACAGCCCTTTCTCTTAAGTGTGTGGTTTGATTTCATTTTTTTCTGTAGCTCATATCATAGTTTGTATCTGTATTGGTGAACTATGATTTGCAGTTGCCCTCCAGACTAGAACTGGAAAATAATCTCAAATAATTGGGTTCTAATTTTGATTTGAAGAACAGGTTAAAATCATGGGTTACTATGGGCTGATAAATATACTGTACAGGAAAACTTTATATTTTGTCATGTAAGCTATTTTTATTTTAAACCACCTGATCATATGCTTTATTGTTTACATAGACATAATCTAGTCAGATCCAAATCCAGTAACAGGAGACATTACACTGCACAAAATGTGTTCTTCAGCAAGTTTTCCTTGATTAGCTGCTGGACAATGCAAATATGAAGAAAGTTTTCCCATGGATACTTTATGCTCCTGGATGGATATTCAAGACAGAAATGCTCCCAGCCAGTTTGCCACAAAAGTTTGTGCTATTATTTCTCTGCTTTGCCCAAATATGATTTCTCTTTAATTTCAACAGAAAACATTCAAGTAACGGTTTACAGTGTCTGTAGTTGAGTATTTTGTCTTAATACGACACATTTGATGCTGAAATGTTGTTGGATGTAGTCAAGTATTACTTATTCCAGTTTCATCACAGACTACCAGATTTGCCAGTATTAAACATTTCATTGACACTATTTCTTCTGGGCCATAAATTGTTTCCCTTTAATTTTGCAATAGGCTTAATCCTGCATTTTGAAGAACTGTCAGAAGGGGCAGGTCTTGACTTGACCTAGTCAACCTGGTTTTTAAAGCTTTGGCATATGAAGTTCATGCTAGAAGTTTTTGATTGGCATTTTTGAAGATACAGTTTACCATTCAATGTATGTAATTTATTTATGTCACATTGATCTTTAATGTAACTAACCATGGTGTTCTTGAATTTCTTGTATAAAATCAACATGAAAAGCAATCTTTAACATAATGGACTGGAACTAGGGGAAATGCTCACCAAGTAGAGTTGGTGAAAGCTAACTTTACTGTGTGGCAGACCCCTGCCCTCATCCCTGGAACAAGTTTTCCCAAGGATCAAGCAATGCTGCTGAACAGAGCAAGCTGAGTTGGTAGGGAGAATCTATTGGGTTAGTTTCTCCATTACATGCTGTCCAGGCTCCTGCTTTGCGGTCATCACTATGTAGGAAAATTATTTGAAGCTTAAGAGAGCTTGTTAGGAATCTGCCACAATGGAAGGTCAATTTTCTTCAACCCATTTACATGTAGTTTTCTCTGGATCCAGTCCATTAACCAGGAAGAAAATGCTGTCGGGTTTAATTGTGCATTACCTTGAATAAATGTGTATGTAACTTTGTACTCTTACCTAAGTTTGTACTCTTACCTAATTCCCACCATAACCATCTATGTACAAAGCAGTAACTGTGTAAATAAGGGAAAGTAACATAAATTCTCTGGTAACTAATTCATAGGGCATCTTACATTCTGTGCAAAGTTGGCAGTTAAAGCTTATAATCAGGATTTACAGGAACAAAATGAAAGAAACGGATTGTACTAATAATGCAAATCGTTATCATTGTAGAAAACTAAATGACAATGGAATCTGCTGCAGAGAACCAACAGAGTGGAGATGCAGCAGTTACAGAGCCAGAAAACCAACAGATGACGGTACAGGCGCAGCCACAAATTGCAACATTAGCCCAGGTAATATTCTGTTCGGCAAGGTGTCCTGTGTGTGCTATTTTCTAAACTCACACATTCCCTATGTTCTTTTTTCCCCCCAAAGATATATCCCTCCCTCAACTTTGTTTTTTAAATGGGAGTATCTCCCCATGCAGATTGTGCAGATCTCCCTGATTAATTAGGCACTTAGCTTGGCACATACAAAATTGGGAATGACATCAGTACATTTGCAAAATTTCCTTGTTCTCCCTTTTTACAGAAGTGCAGAAAGTTTCACTCAGGGAGATGATTATTATCAAGGGCAGTTAGGAACAGCTGGGCCAGAGTGCAGTTCAACTGCAGATACTGAGTTGTCAGGCAGACACTTGCCACAGTGCTATCTTGATACCAGACGTAACCAGAGGGAGGACTTGGCTAGGGTTTTACGGGTAATGCTTCCATCTGTCTATACACTACAGTGTTTCCCAGAAAATAAGACAGGGTCTTATATTAATTTTTGCTCCAAAAAACGCATTAGGGCTTATTTTCAGGGGATGTTTTATTGTCATGTCATCTTCTGGTTGCTGTACAATGCTGCACAATGGTGGAGGGCGGGGTTTCACTTAACTAGGGCTTATTTTGGGGGTAGGGCTTATATTACGAGCATCCTGAAAAATCATACTAGGGCTTATTTTCAAGTCAGGTCTTATTTTGGCGGAAACAGGGTACTACCAGTTTTAAATTAAAGTGCAGCAACAGCTGCTATGCACTTTTCCCGCCCACGTTTGTCCTATAGCTAAGTCAGACTTACCACTACCAAATGTCCATTCAGTGCTGAAACAACAAATCACCGTTATAGTTGATGTATGTTACAAGGGTAACGTTTCTCATGGAATCTGAAAAAGTTCAATGCTACTGCAGTTTATTGATTGATTGATTTGATTTGATTTGATTTGATTTGTATCCCGCCCATCTGGTCAAATATAGACCACTCTGAGCGGCTTCCAATAAAAGGAACATATACAATAAATAATAATAATATTACAAACAGACTGACATATATGAGAATAAAGGAAATAATAAATAAAGAAGAAAATTAGGTATTGACAGGAGGAAAGGCCTGGACATACAGCCATGTTTTTAATTGGCTCTTAAAAGTGCCCAGCATAGGGGCCGCCCGAATCGCCGGAGGAAGGTTATTCCAGAGGCGAGGAGCCACCGCCGAGAAGGCCC